TTATCTTAAAGACGTACATTTAGCTAAGTTATTTTTTAATATTTAAGATTAGAGTACCAAAAATTGAATGATATGATTTTATAACGATTGAAAAGGTGCTTTACAAAAAAAAACACATATTTTGTGATATAAGTTTAGTGTAGTTTCGCTCTTAATCTCGAACACTTTTACGTCACTTTAACTTTAACCTACTTGAATAGCTTTTAAAATATGTGGTTGAGTTATTATCTGGAAATTTTGACAAAGCTTAATACATCGGACGAAGGACGAAAATTACCTATACAATGAGTACCTACATGCCTACAACTATTAATTATAATATATAGATAAAAATATTACTTATACCCCAGCAGCTCAACTTTGAGCTGACATGAAAAGACTTTGATAATAATAGTTAGAATAGAGTACCTAACCAAATAGCGACAAACGCATATGTTCCATTTCCTGTTCAAAAGTTGGTTCATAAAGGATAATAAATCCATCATAACATAAATAACTGCCAATTATGACACACGAAACAAACGTTAATAAAACTAAAAAGAAAATAATAATACAAATAGAAACGGGAAGTCTGTAGGTAAGACGAAGGAGAATTTAAATAATGGCGGATCGGGTTACACCGGAAGTCGCTTAACAATATGGCAGCACTTCCAGCGGCAGCCATTTGCAAGCCGCCTGGTTCGTAAACAATAGAACGCGGCTTGCTCTGTGAAATTAACACTGGGGTGGCGGCACTTTGAATTTCGGGCGGCTGCCATTATATTTATAATGGCTAATTCAACTGTTCCGTTTTCCTCAGCTAATTACCCATGTAATTGGGAAGGTGGTAGATTAAATCTTTCGCTTGTTTCTTTATTTATTTACGTTAGCTACCTGCCTGGTCCTTATAAAACCGAAACCAATCTAATACTAATACTCATATTATGTACTGGTACCTATTTAATTTTTACTATGCTAATTAAAATATCACTATAATTCAAAAGCAATTGACAAATCAATTAAGCTGCTGTACCTAGTTATCATGTTTACCAAGTATGTCAACCCTTTTACTTTTGCATAAATCAACGACATAAGGGCTTTCGAAATAGCTCGACGTTTAATTAAGAAGTGTAATCTTGATTAACGTTATCACGATCTTTGCTTTTGTTTTCACAAGTGCAGAATAAAAACGATAATATACAAGGCCTTTGAAGTGCTTACCGGATTTCCGGTATTAGGTATTTGCCTATTATCCGAATGCAATATTTTTTATTTATTCACAAGCACAAATTAGAGTTAACATTTGTTGATTTTATAAACCTAATACTCGACATGTTTTACAAATATCAAGATTAAAACGAAACAGATGAGAGAGACACACACACCTAAATGATAATACCTACATGATGCAAAATTAATTCAACGAAAAAACAATTTCACGTAAAAAAGAACAAGAGGGACACCTTTTTGGTATATGTTAGGTACAATTAGGTTTTTCGAATATTACGTTTTAATTTTAGAATCATTTAAATCAACTTTTGCCATGTTAGGAAAAAAAATATTTTGAAATTTTAAATGGCAAAATTTTCTCTCGAATGTACTCACACATATCTAAGAGTTTAGGCGCTCCAAGGGGGTGACTGACGCGGGGGTGAAGAGAAACGGCGCGTCTCTGGCGTCGTGTATACACCGAAGGGTGGGAAGTCTGACACGGACCGTTTCGATCTTCGCCAAGGGTGCCGTTTGTAACCATGGAAACTCCGAGCATAGTATCGCCATTGGAAAAGTACAGGGACGGACTCAAATTATCGCAACGGTTGCAAAATTTTTCGCAAAAACAATTAATATTAGTTTTAGTGAGAACGAGCACGTTGAAACAAGTTCGGTAAAAAGTCTATCAATTTTCATTTTAATCGTGCATTTGCTTAAGTAATTTTTATGTGTTATTTAAACTGGACTCAATAAACTCATAGGATATTAAAAATGTCTTCTATAGAAGCAGATGTAATGTTTTTTTTTTACGGAAAGATCGGCTAATAATATAATTAATTAAATAAACAAAAATTATGCGAGTTTAGGCAATACTTGTAGGCGAAACCGATATCGCAATATAAATATACGAAAGCAGAGGGTGGATGGAAAACGTTCCCTTTTACTATTTAGTTCGCCCTTTTAAAAGAGCCGATCAGCATTAAGGCAAGTTCATTAGTAACTCCCCAGAGAAGGGCTTAGGGAGCCATGATAAGGGTTGCGTAATGAAATACAGAATTAAATGGGATTTGCTTAGAGTAGAGATTTTAGAAATGACTCGTCCGCGTGATTAAATGCGAAAAAAGATTTGTTACACTGCCATACGATATGTACCTACATTAAATAAGGAAGGAATATGAGTGAAATTTAATGAAAAAAGGATGAATGCAGAATTTTCGATAAACACTTCATGACTTCATTATTTTTAGGAAAATTTTCTAATGAAAAATGCAATCCTGACGATTTTCCTTCAATCTAAATCTTATTCTCACTGTTTTGGACATTTTTAGACTTTTCTGAATGAGAGTTATTGAGAAGAAGAATATTGTTGGTGATAGGTACTTTATTTGAAACTCCATATACTTAATTGTAATAATCTGTAATTCACGATTGAGATGGCTTTTTCTGGTGGAAGAATCGATTAATACGCGTTTTCAATGGACACCCCATCAAATGATGACCTCGAACACAATTTTTCTACGTTTGTTCTCATCAGTTAACCCAGCAATAAGACGAATTTAGCATCGATTTTTTTAGGCGTTAAAGGATAAAGGATTGCCTTTTACAAGCTCATTCCTAATATAAAATTGTCCCATCAACTACACTTTTAATAAGTTATTAATTGATTAAAAAGTTGGACAAAAAACAGAACTCAAAAAGGGAAAAAATACAAACTATTATATAATATTACCTACATATAAATACACGACAAAAAAATTTTGGGCTTCGACGGGGCAAATTAAATTAAGTACTGTTAGGAAAAGATATTTTAATGATTAAAAAGTGTTTTTCTTTTATTTCGTAATTTAGGTAATACTATGTTTTGTGAAAATGCAATTGACGACTTATCAAAGATACGTATTAATTAAAAAGACCGCTAACTTCTGAAATTAGGTACCTAGTAAAATCAAAACTGAACTTTTCAAGTTCGCAGATCAATTTTTAATCAGGCTACAGCTTAATATTACACTTGATATTCGAAATTTGTATTGTTCACTAGAAACAACGCCCACAGCAGACAAACAGATAACGAGGTGATTCCATACATAAATATACGCCTACAGGTATCTATTAATTATTTATTAGTTGTCATTTTAATGTAAATCGTAAACTAATTGTTCTTTTGTTTATAAAAAATGGCAAAACTTTCTCACCCACCACGTAGTTAAGTATTAAGCATTACAATTCAGCAGTGCAATATTTGAGTTTATTTCCCTCTTTCTCCAGCGTTACCACCATCCTATCTACCACCTTTTCCGCCCCCAACCCAGCCACTCACTTAATTTTCCCTCGGAGTTCTTCATTTTCTATTTTGTTCCACGCGCATCGTGCATTTTCTGCCGCCATGGTCTCATTTTCACCCGAGAGTAAATCCCGAGGGATGAGCTTGACTAATTTACCAAAACAGAGCCGGAGTTACCTACTTATTAATATTGATGAGTTTTCAAAAAAAACATCAATACAAGCGATTTTATCAACAAATGTGTTATTACGACGGCGACGATGGCAAAATAGTTTCGATTGTATTGCAATTAATAATAGAAGTATTTTAAAGAACCTTTAATCCGCGGCTTGGAGCCAAAAAGGCCAACGTTAAAACTTTCACATTTGAGGAAATTACCCTTTAAATTTTTAGTAATAATGCTTTTAAGTACAGGTTAACTGGAGTCCACGCTTACTACTACCTTTGGTTCGGCATTTAACAATACGATACGCTTGAACAGAATGATATTAAAAATGTGAATGAATTCATAATGACATTGGCTACCATTACCATTTATAGATCGGGTGTTGCTTGAATTTGACATTGGTTAAGCATATAATATTATTGCAATGTCAAATCGGTAAAAGCTTTCCCGGCCAGTACGTGGACTGATGCTGTTCTGACTCGGGTCTGAAGGCCGTAGTCGGTCGGAGTTGCTTCCTAACGTTTCGCTAGAACGAGTGACGAGCTTATTTAGAGATCCTTCTCCTTCTCCCATACTGGATGTGAAGAAGCTTGCGAAACGTTAGGAAGCAACTTCAATCGACGACGAATCAGGACGGCATCAGTTTATTGTAATGTTGTCGATTATTTATGAAAAAATTACTCGATTTTAATAATAAGGTATGTATAATAATCGACAATTATTGTGTTAATAATAATAAAATGGCTTTTATTTTGTCAGCGTGGTATAGCGGCGCCGCTGGCCAGAAAAGCGTCGGGACGGTCGCCGTCGCTGTGGGACGCTTAAGAGTAAACATTGATCTTGAGATGCGGCACGTTGATTGGGCCTTCCGACACCTGGGTGTTGCCAGGCAACAGCCTCTAGCGATCTCCCCGTTGCTAGGTGACAGGCGTCCTTCTTAACCCTCGACACGGCGCTCGCTACAACCCCCCATAGCCAACAAACAACGGCCGATATTGCATATTACATACACACACGTGTAGCTGGCTTTTTTTATTTTTATTCGAATGTTTACCCACGTACGAGAAGAAAATGTTTTGTGTTTCATCGGTTAAGTTTTTTCGATATGCACCTAACAATCAACACAAAATTAAATCAGTTTGGGGTAATCCCACAAACTGAACAATGTGTGCAAAAAGAAATGAACTAAGAGGAGTCACGGAGCCCGACCCTTTTCATTTAGATACCTGTAAATGGGATTTAATAAAATAAAATAGAATGAAAATTAATAAGTAGTTAATTTTAGGTAAATAGGAAAATTGTAAACAAAGAATGTATTTATAATAAACAAAACAAACATTTTTATTGAAGAAATACTTACAAAATATAATAAAACGTAAACTTTTATTTACCTACCTACCGGTTGTAATTAATTACCACCTAATAAATTTAAAGGATCATCCAAAACTGGCCTAGCCTCATTATCTAACTTTTTTATTGAATTTTTACTTATTCGGTTTGCTACTCTTGCCTTTGCACCTGAAAAGAATTAGTGTTAGAAATTGAAGAACCAATCCATGGAAAAATTTTACGAAGCCACGTCCAAATTTTTATTTAGGTACTTACAGTTTTTAGTCAAGACGTACACTACAATATTACCATTCACCTGATTAAGTTATCATTCATACAAAATCTAACCTGATTGATTTTTTTCCGTCGACTTATCTGCACCGTCGTTACGTTTTGGTTTCCACGTGGCAAATAAATCATCATCATCATCTGAATCCTCACCAAAGAGATCTTTCCGAGACTCCGCTTTCTTTTCAGTTCTACTCTTTATTGATATACTATCAGAAACCTTAAAAATGTCATCGCTATCAGTAGTAAATTCCGTTTCGTTTTTGATTTTAAAAAAGTCACTTCCATCGTCGAGAGCACTTTCTGTTTTTTGTTTTTCGTTAATTTTCAGTTTCGATGTAGAAAACAATTCAGAATCTGATTCAGACTCGCTCGAACCGAACAATCGTTCCGTTTTGGACGTCGATATTTCTTCAAGTGTACCTTTTTTTGGTCTAGTTGTTACTGATTCAGTTTTTCGTTGTAATGAATCTGAGGAAGTTTTGGTATCGTTTCCTTCAGGCAAACTGATCGTGTAATTCGAATCAGTGTTGAGCAAATATTGTTGGCGTCCCTTTCTCGTCGAAGGGCGTCTTTGAACCGGAGCCCTGACACGATTCTAAAAAATCTCCAGTTAAATTAGTCTGTAGGTATAATAATAAGCGAAATCATTTTACTTTTGTAACACTATCCAAGGTTTTAATATTGGCATCAACCTCGTCGTCAAAACTAATAGAAGACCTTTGAGGCGAGGCGTGCTCCTGTTCCTCCCTTCCCTCTTCCTGTTTTAGTTTTTGTTCGCTTTCGATTAATTTTGGAGTATTAGCTGCAGTACTTTCTATTACGTTTATTAATGTTTCACTTTTCTTTTTTTGGGCGCCGGATGGTAAAAGAGCATTAACATTAATATTTAGCGAATGTTTGAGCTTTCCGGGTAATTTTTGAGGATCTAAAATAGTTTTATACATTTTCAGCAATATACAATTTTTTGAACTCTCATAAACTTACTGGTTCCAGACAACGAAGAAACACTTTCTACCGTTTCTTCTTCAGAACTTTTTAAATTACTAGTTTTCGGCGTATTTTCTCTTATTTCCCGTTTTACTGCCGCTTCACTGAATAGTGTATCATCAACGTCTGCGATTTTACCTTGTTCATTTTCGTCGTGATGATTGTCTAAGGTCGGAAACAACGACGGTGGTTCGTCAGACATGAACAATCCTAACTTGTAAGGCTGTATTTCGGGCATTTTTTCAAACATGTCCTCAAATAAATTGTTATCAGATGTCACATCCCAGTCATCATCCAACTCCGGTGGGGAGTTGCTAAACAAACTATTTTTCGACGGCGGAATGTCTTTAATATTTGAGTTTTGTTCTTCGTCAAACTCGTTATTGTCTGGTTCCTTTTCCATATTGCTCGTAATATTCTCGTCTACATGCGAGGAAATGTTATCGACAAATGGTTCATTAGAAAATAATTGTTCTGAATCGTTTTTGATTTCACCAGGCCAGATGTCATTAAAAATTATTTTATCGTTTTGACTGGTTTGGTCTGTGGACTCAGAAATTTTACCGTCAATGTTATTCGATTTCAACTCGTCTTGCGAAAATAGATCATCAAAATCATCATTCACGTCATCAAACAGACTCAGAGCTGATGGTTTAGAAGTAGTTGACTTTTCAAAAGCCACTTCTCTTTTACTTTCGATTATAGACGGAGGAAAATGAGCATCATTTGAGTTTGTCAACGAAGGCGAAGCAGAATTGGAAGAATTGATTAACGAATTTGACGAAATGTTTTCCTTTAAATCACTCTTCGAGTTTTCTATTGAACTTGCGTCGTCGGAAATAGTACTAAATAAATTTGAAGTAAATTTCTTTGTTTCAATATTTGAAAATAAGTCATCGTCAAATAAATCATTCGCGTTGTCGTTGAATATATCAATCGTTTCTTTCAAATTATTATTATCCTTTTTTGTTGGATCACTTTCGCTAGTGGAGATATTTGAAGGCGATGTATCTTTCTCGTTATTAATTAAATTATCGTTTTTAGTTGACGATGAACTGCCTATAACGGGCTTCTAAAAAGAATGCGTAAAATTTTAAAACCAGAATTGAAACAATAATCGTGTAAAAATGACCCACTTTAGCATTGATATTTGGCGGCTCGCCACTGAAAAAAGGAACGGTGATATTTTTTTGTCCGATCAACAACGGCTTTTTATTGTTTACAACAGGATTTGTATTAAAAATATCATCGCTATCTTCATCATCGTCATCGAATAAATCAAGAGCTTTCTAAAATGTAGCGAGACAAACAATTATTTTTAAACCCACTGAGGAACACAGTAAGTACCTATACCTTATTATTGTTTATATTTTCTTTTCTATTTTCATTGACCATTTTATTCTGAATTTCCACGTTGTTATTTTCATTGATTTTATTATCAGAAGCTAAAATATAAAAACGCCTATTGAAGATTCGACAGAAACACCGCATTATTAATGACTAATCTTACGTTTAATTTTAACTGGATTGTTAGACCACAACGAATTGCTGTCGTCAAGATCGTCGAAGAGATCGTTTGTTTTTACCTTTGCAGAATTAAATATATCGTCATCGTCACCGTTGTCTAGAGGAGGAGGTTCCTCGGGAAACATATTTTCTATAGATTAAACACTTGATTGTAGTACGACAAACAAACAAAAACAAAAAATGCTAAACGAACGAACATACTGTATTTATATGGCGCGGCAACTTTTTGAATCGGCCTCGTATTGACGACAGGCTCTTCGATATTTCTGTTATGATCAAAAATATCTCCTAATTTTGCAGCCAATTGATCGGCGAAGGTACTGTTGGCAATAGGAGTCTAAAATTTATAATAAGAATGCCGAAAGAGTAGGTGCTACATAAACATGTTAAAATATATAATATATTCTTGCACATTTATTATTTAAACGAATGAAATACGTGGAGCCATGGCATTTGTACCTGCGAAGAAAACGAATTCTTATCACTATCCTCCGTCATAACGTCCGAACCTTTTTTTATTTCATCAGAAGTGGTGGTGGGCAAAGGAATATGACTTTTATTAAATTCAATTTCTGAACTTGTTTCTGATGTACCAAGCACCTTTGAACAGATTTATTAGAAAATGTGACAAATTTGCAAAACGATTCCAAACAAACATAACATCATGGACGCCGCCAAAATTATTTCCAACTACATACAACTTCATATTTATGCAAGACGTGAAAATTCAGCCCCTTGCTACCCCCTGGCGGCGCTCATGAATATATATATATATATATTTCTACCTGAGGTCTATAAACGGGTAAAGTATCTTCAGAATCGCTACAGCTTTCTTTGTTTGAAACCATTTCGCATTCGCTTTCGCTAGATGTTTCTTCTAAAAGGCCAACATGCCAATATTTATGCCATTCTTCGGTCCCGATTACGTACGGCAGCGGCCTATCTGAATAAGGATCTTTGGCTCTTAAACTAAAACTGAAACTGCCGCATTTATAATAAAGGTTTAATTTGATAAAAGAATTAATGCGCTAACCGTGGAAAATCTATTTCATCCTCGCTATCGCTACCTGGAACTTCTACTTTATCAAAATATTTATCAATCACTTCGACACCCTTTAGTATTACATTTTTCATAGTTTTTAGTTTATCGTTTTCTGTTAAATTCTGGCTGTCGTCCTTAAATTTAAAAAGTTCATTTAACAAACAACTAAGATGGCTAAATTTTTTAACATCACCTTTTTGACGCCCTCTTGAGGTTGAAGAGTCTCATCATCCTCATACACTCTGCTTTCAATAAACTGAGTGTTGTGTAAACTTTGAAATCTGTTCTGAATGACATTAAATTTTACATGAGTGTTATTTAATTCATCCAGTAATGAACTAAGTTTTTCCTTAGTCTTACTTGCATTACCAATTAATTCCTTAAATGTTAAATAAACTCAGCAAGATCAAGTTTCATTCAAAAATGGACCACAAACAAGCATAAGTACCTCTGAGAATTTTTCAAGATGATGTAAAAGACCGACATCTTTAGCTAAATTCCATGAATCAGCGCACTTTATAATGTCTTCAGTGGACGAAAACGTACACTCTGACATTTTTTTAAAAGTATTTATTCAGGCCTTAGTTATGTTATTTAGCTACGCCACTGGAGAAAACAAATCAAACAAATCATTGAAAGTTTCATAACGTCAGAGATTATTTATTATTTTAAATAGAAATTTAGATCATTCAATTGCCCAAACAGATAAATTGTCTAATTAATTCGCAAACAAACAGAATTTAATTAAAAAATACACTTAAAAAAGTAAACAATAACCTCAAAGTTTAACTTACTCAATTCACCCTTAGAAACGTTTACTTGAACAAAGGACAAACTTTTCACTGGTATTATAATCTCAATAATTTAATAAAAACAAACCAAAAACATACTGATAACCATATCATATAAATAAATATATGTCGTAAATGGTATACCCGATTTTCATGTCCGCCCTAAGCTGGAAATGCTGAAGCAAGAAACTACGTACTGTCAACCGCCATAGGCGCTGCGCTTGTTACTTCTTTACGTACTTCAACATCGGTTTGTATTGAAAATAAGCGACTGTAAAGAAATGTATCGCTTAAATTACCATTAAAAAGGTGTTTTAACTGATTTTAACTATTTTGGAATGGAATCTATCTCTTATTTAAAGTACTATCAGTATAATGTCCTCAGCACGCCTATGTGTTTTACCCACAGCTGACGTTGTAACCCTAGTCATATCCGATATTTATGGTTTCACAACTTAGCGTTTTAAGGGATGTCCCAGGGCATGCTTCAGATATAGGAATCTTACATTTTCTGTTCACACCGCTAGGAGATTATACAGTATGAATATGCTATACTGTACGATTAGAAATAAGGCGACTAAATTATTTTTTTGCTGGAAATTTTTATTTACTTCTTTCAGAAATGTTAATAATAATAATATTGCTACCTATCTATCATCGTCTCTTTAGTTTACTTGCGATTAATTTTTTAATTATATAAAAAGGCAAAAATATACCCAAAAAAATGTCGATGTAGTAGTATTCAAAAAATGTCATGTCAGAAGCGTGGGATCTTAGTTGCTTGGCACCGTTATGTCGGATGACATATTCGATCCAATAAATCGCTGTATCCATTGCAGACAATGGGCGGTCTTTAAATTGAATTGAAAGCTGCTTTGCTGTCTCTCTGTACCTTAAAGTACTCGCAATTAGCAAACCAAGAAAATAGTACGATATATGTGCTCTTACTTAGGGTTTTCCAAAAGCTCCTTTAAGACATTCAATATTTCTTCTTTGCTCATGTCTATAAAAGATATTTCTAAAGCAGATCCTTTAAGGACTAAATTTTTAGCATTAAGTGTTTGATCTCCAAAAAATGGCATTTCTAAGATTGGTACACCACAAAAGACACTTTCTTGAGTACCCATTAAACCCGCATGGGAAATAAACAGTACTACGTTAGGGTGGCCTTTTAAAATTTCGAAATTAATTTCGTAAGGTCATAAACGTATCTACATCTACCTATGATAAAATTCTAAAGTTCTTACACAGAATGTCAATTTGCGGAGTCCACGATTTAAAAATCACATTTGGAGAAATAATGACTGAGTCTGGAATTTTAGACTTATCCCCTTTTACCAAAAATTTATAATCGCTCAACAGAGAAAAGGTACTAAAAAGAACTTTTAAACCGTCCAAAGGGAGAGTTTGCAGCATTAGTAGCGAACCAAAACTCATATAAACAACGCCCTTGTACTTATCTTCTAAGCTCATCACGGTTTTGTAACTCTAAAAAATAGTTTGATGACGGAAATAAAAGAAAAAACGAATCAAAACAGAAGAAATGCGCTTTTTACATCTGTCAATGGTCGAGGATCATTAATGTGCAATCCACCCACTTCAATGACGTTTGGTACCCAAGGTCTTGCCGGATTTATACTGAAATGACTATTTACCATGTGCAAACTTGAATATCTGCTTATTAATTCGGTTAAATGTGGAGTATCTTCTCCAAAAAATTGTTTTACATAATAATCCGATGGTTCGATTGATTTTTTGTAATAACTAAAAGGAAATTGTAATTATACAAAACTGTATCTACCCCAATATCGAAATGATCAGTGATTCTTATAGGTGTTATCGTATATTAAATATTAATACGGTCGGCGAAAAGTATGGTGTATTCTATATACATTTTGTGTGTGGAGACTAACCCTGTATATGTATGTTTATATGAATGTTATATCATACAATTATGCAACTTTTCGTGGAAAAAGATCGTCCCAACATTTTGTTGAAAATATTCAGAAAGAAGCATGCACGTCATAAAAATAATAAAGACGAAACGTTATTACTGTTTTGGCCTTAAGAGGGATGAAAGAAAAATCCGTTTTATAGATAGTTAGATATAAAAAACAATGTTTTTCTTTGTATCTAAAGACATGCTTGCTACGCACAATTTTAATTTTGCCGGCCCCACTAATAGATAAATACTTGGGTAATTAGTTTTTGCATGTAAATACATACTAGATTTTTGTGTAAAAGGAGTTCCATATATTCCAAAACTTTTCGACCAAACTCATGTTGGTTGTGTACGGTAGAAAATAAGAGGGTATATACGTGGGTTCTTCGGGATTGCCGAATCTACTATTGCCCCACGGTTGATTTACGCTAGTCGTTAAAGTAACAACGGGTACGTCGAAATGATGCGCAAAACCAAACATACAATCTGTACCAAATATTTCCGTTATTATTAGATCGTATTTCTTTTTTGTGTTCTTTAACTTCAGAGTTAAGGGATGTTTAAATGCATTCTCGCATATGTTTGTACCGCACATTCCCGTGATGATATTCATCATGGTAGTTGTGGTTGTGTCTTTGACTAGTTCGAACGAAAAATTTCCCACTAAATTTGGCAACGACCCTTTTAAACTTATGTCGGTGTATCTGCAATAAATTCAGTACCTACATACAAGAAATAATTTTATTTCGACATACCTAGGAACTGGCTTTTCCCGTGGAAAATGACTCAAAACATCAAGTTCGTGACCTCGCCTGGCCAATTCCATGTATAATCTTTCAAACATTACAAAATGACTCTTTCCATCGAAAGGATTTAAGCCTAAAATTCGAAAACAAGCGCATTTCGCGAAAAACAGGAAAAATAACAGAAACGAAAAACATTTCATTTTGTTGTTAGAGTAGTGCTGTAGTGATGTAATAACATAACACTCACATGAAACGACTTGGAAAATTATTATGAAACGGAATAAACATGACTAAACAAAATCTATCCAATGTTTAATTTTTTTCCTTATCTGAATTAACATTCTTCTTATATACATGTGTACGTACGTACACACTTATTATATACTTATAAATATCTATCTATTATACCTATAATGTGTTCGGACTTAGCCTGTCTTGGTCGTTAGCCTGAGGTTGCTAAAGATTTCGAAATTTCTACAGCAGTAGGTACTGCTGGAGGACTAGTAAATAAGAAAAACAGGTACAGGTACACATCAGTTACTTTACTAAACTGTTTATGTGCGATCTTCATTCGTAAAAATTCCTAAAAGTCTCACGTGAATTTCCGGAATTTGTTCGTAGAATAAGGATCAAGAACGAGTTGTTCTTTATGCGAATAAATAATATGTTGGTTATTCTGTTTCCGTACGCTCAGTTCTATGCAATGCCTACTGTAAACAAGATTAACGAAAATATTGCAAAATACATATGCAATTGGGGAAGAATTCGGCTTTCAGCCTGCTCTGCGTTTTTCGAGCCGGTCCTGTTTATACAGTCTGACTAAAGTACTGCAACGAATGTTGAATTTTACCCTTCTCGCATGCGAACAAAATCGTACAAAAAATCAGTACCTACATACTTTTAAGAAAATTTAACCAGTAAAAGAACCGACGATTACAAGTTTTCCAATCCTGATTGTACTTACAATTACAATAACGCAAAATAAAAATTAATTTCGACTTAAAATTAATTAATCATAAGAAAAAGCAGACTCCATATGAGTAGGTAATTGTTTATTTTTAAATACAATTGTTGAGTAAAGTTGAAGTTTCAAAACAATTGCGCTCTTTTCGTTAGAGGCTTTGCATTCTTTTTCTCGACTGGCTTTAAAATTTGAAAGCTACACATTAAATTTTCGTCAATGGTCATAATTGCTCCTGCATTGTCAAACTCCTCTAAAAAAAAATATCGGTTATTTATTTGTCACGTACCTACCCACTTAATTCACCACTTAGGTAATTAATTCGAATTACCTACCACAATAATTTGGCGCGCTGAATATGGTTAAAAGTTGTCGTTTTGAAAAAAATTCGTACCCGTCTTCGACCACTTGGTGCCCTCTACATATTAAGTCGTAACCGTTCTTCTGAAGAAAACGATTTACGACCTAAAACATTTAATTCATATTTTTGTCAGCTAATCAAGCATTCAATCAATTTTCGTACATCTGTTCCGAATGTAAAGCTTACACCCCGATCGTTTTCACTCCATCCGTTTTGTTCTTTATCCGGGTCTGACCAAAGCAAATCGCACAACAAACCCTTATCTGGTACATCGGTAGGCCTAAGTATTCGTCGGATTTGTTCTACATTTTGTAGATCTGGGCTTAATCCTGTATTTAATAAAAATAAGTTGCATTTATTTTTTATACAAATTTTGTTATTTACTACTTATGCATAATGTCAGTAAAGTATGAATAATCAATGAAATTATATTATTTTATTATTATATTTAACAAATCTTACCGCCATGACAACAAAAAATCTTATCGTCAATTGTCGCTGCTACTGGCAAACAGTTAAAACAATCAGTAAATATTTTCCATACTTTAATGTTATAACTAAAAAATAAAAAGGAAACACACAAAACTTTCTCTGCACCTTAGTTAGTTAACGTAAAATCTATAAAATGGAATGTCATATGACAAATCAGTTGCAGGCTTTGTATACGTTGTAATAAATTAACAAACTTTTCCATTGTTTTGCAACATTTCTTTCAACAGAAGTGTGAAAGAACGAAACAGTTATAGAACATGACTTACCGCCTTTTGCATTCGTCATAAAACCCGTAAATTCTACTAATCGATTCACATTCGTGGTTTCCCCTCAACATGAAAAAGTTTTCAGGATATTTAATTTTATATGCGAAAAGCAAACAAATTGTTTCAATCGATTGCCTCCCCCTGTCAACATAATCTCCTAGAAATAAATAATTGGACTGGGGTGGGAAACCCCCGAATTCAAATATGCGAAGCAAATCTTGAAACTGTCCGTGAATGTCTCCTAAAATAAATAACTACATTTTACGAAATACTAATCTAATTAAATTATCAAACAATTAAGTATATTAATTTAAGTGGAGCTGTTTTTTTTTTTTTCATAAAAATTACGAAACTCACCGCAAACCTTTAGAGGAGCTTCCAATTCTAAAAGCACAGGCTGTGTTAAGAAAAGGGGCCTGACCTTATGACATAATTTTATGATTTCACTTTCGCTTAAATTGACCGTCTTCTTTTTTGCACCCCTTGCTTCAAACGTAAATAGTTTATCGCACTAATATAGTACTAATCATTTTTTATCATTACCTGACACAAGTTTTTTGATAACGTTATCAACGTCTAAAACTGAATCCATTTTCCTATTGCACTTGAATATTTTACAGAACATCTACTTAACAAATGGTATTTTTGATCATTATAAATAAGTGCAAAATAAACAGAGCCTCGTCTGGGACCGCACTCCTAATTTGCACCTTTAAACAAACAACGCCTTCACAATTAAACTATCCACCAAACATTTACAACATCGTTAATCTAATAAAACCCATATGTTTTCTCGCGCCGTGTTTGTTACAGTCAAACCAACCGTTAAAAACTCTCGTAAATACTTATTATGCACCTTATCGGTTGATATGCTGCGATAAGGAATGATACAAATACAAATTATTAGTTCAACAAGCTTTGTCAAGTATTTAGAACAATCTCAAGTAGGATAAGAAAGTCCAAGTGCAACCAACGAAATGGTACCATTTGAAAAAGAGATATGTACGTAGGTAGGTACATGAGTATTCTCTTACATTTATTTAAACGATTGTATTCGATGTTTCAAAAAGTATACGATAAATATTAATTGCTAAAATTTAAAATTATTTGATTAGTAAAATGTCCTGTCCCTGTTGATTTTTCTAGGGGGACCCAGGTGCCATTTCTATTATATACTTTTACGTGCACAAAACATGTAACTGTTTCAATAAACTATTTTTCTATAAGGACTTTCAATAAAAACAAGAATGTGAGAGCTTTGGAGTTAAAAATGGGTAGACAGAGTAAAATTCTGGATACAAAAATCAAAAATCTAACACTACTACACTTCATTCCTTCTGAATAGATTAGTTTAGGATCAGTAAAGGAGGAAAGGAACGGAAGATGACCAATATTTGTTTCATTACGAATAATCTATTGTACTCTTCTCAATGGTATATAATCATGTTACCATTGTAAGTTTCTGAGCACATACAGTCGGTCAAGTCAAATCGAAAAATCAGTGTCAAATGCAGTTGAATGCAAGTAACTGTCAGGAGTAAGCTGCACTTATTGGAGAAAGTTTTGATAGTTTACTGTAGCGACAGAAAGTGTGTCAACTAATAGCGGCGAAATAATTGTGTATATTAATAAGAAAGGGTGATAAAGAACATATTTGTTTCACAGGAACAGTAAGTATTAACTTATTGCAATGCACAATAGATCTAATAAATTCTATTAAAGGTTAAAATGTCCAATTCAGTTTCTATTAGCAAGTGAATGTGTAGAGATAAAAAACAGCTGATAAATGGTATTTTAAAATTAATACTAACGTACAATCGGGTGCATTTACATTAATATTATGACATATTTTTTTATGATAATTTACACACTTATGCACTCTATGAAGATAGTCCCTTTTCTACGAAAAAAACAATAAATCTTAAATGAATAATTTTTTTGTTGGGTTTAATTGTTTTACTTGAAAAATCCCTCCCCCCTCCATACCCATACCCTCTGTGGGGGTCATTCATATCCACTCGAATAATTTTTTTAAATGAACCATATTACTGTTCCTTTACGTAAAAGTTAGACCTGGGCTGCGAAATACGAGGGTGGATTGATAAGTTTCCGGCCTGACCAAGAAAAACAAGGTTTTTAAAAATTTTTTTTTTTTATTTCTCAACATAATCTCCTCCAAGGCTGATACATTTCTCATAGCGGTGTTCCAGTCTATTAATGCCATCTCTATAGACTGATTCGTCAAGCTCCTCAAAATAACCATTTACAGCTTCGATTACTTCTTCATTGTCCGCAAATCTCTTACCGCCAAGCCATTTTTTGAGATTAGGGAACAGAAAATAGTCACTCGGGGCTAGGTCTGGAGAGTAAGGAGGGTGCGGCATCAATTCAAACTTTAGATCGTTGATTTTAGCCGTCGCAACGATTGACGTGTGCGCTGGTGCGTTATCGTGATGAAACAAGATTTTTTTCTTCGCCAGATGAGGTCGTTTAATTTTCACCTCGTGGCTCAAACGTTGCAATAAGTCTGCGTAGTATTGACCAGTGATAGTATTACCCTTTGCAAGGTAATCAATGTATATAATACCTCTTGCATCCCAAAAAACAGTAGCCATAACCTTGTTCGCCGAAAAAATTGTTTTTGCCTTCTTTGGAGTTGGTTCCCCTGGTCCAATCCACTGTTTAGACTGTTCTTTGGTTTCAGGAGTGTAGTGGTGGACCCACGTTTCGTCAACGGTTACGAATCGACGCAAAAATTCGCTTGGATTACGCTTATACAATGACAAATTTGCGGTAGAAATGTTTTTTCGAATCAATTTTTGGTCGACTGTTAGCAAACGCGGCACCCATCTTGCACAGAGCTTTTCCATATGCAAATGTTGGTGCAAAATATGTTGCACACGTTCATATGACATCTTACAGGTCTCAGCTATCTCACGCACTTTCAATCTGCGGTCTCCCAGCACTATTTGATGAATTTTTTCGATCATATCTGGAGTTGTGACCTCAACGGGGCGTCCTGAGCGAGGCCCATCAGAGGTGCTCACACGACCCTTTTTAAACTCGGAAACCCACTGCTTAACGGTTGAATATGACGGGGAGGATGTCCCCAGTGTTGAGTCCATCTCTTTTTTAATTTCCTTCGGCGTTAACCCCTTCAAATAAAAGTATTTGATGACAGCACGATTTTCCTGCTTTTCCATTTTTACGAAAACCACAGAGGCGTCTTGTTCAGCGTGCTGTCAAACCTACACTAGCAAGGAGATCGGGCTGAAACTATAGCTACAAGCTATCCAAGGATGGTACTATAGAATGTCACCTCAAGGTAGGCCTAGTGGCGTCATCTCTTGGTTAGGCCGGAAACTTATCAATCCACCCTCGTATATATGATGTAGGTACCTATATTCTGCACAACATAATTGTATGAATTTTTTGTGTCGGAACTGGGGAATTCCACAAATCGTTGATATACAGGAATTTCAATTTCTCAATACAGTAAAGGCGAATTGAGAACTGAACGTAGGGATATTCTATTGCAAGCAATCATCAAAGGACAACATCATCTACAAATAATAACTAGCAATATTTTCGTATAAATAATAAAGTAATACCAGTCCAGTAAATGCAACTTAAAGTGACTGATGGGTGCTTGTTTCTTGGTCAGTATTTCTTCTTTTAAGTCGCACGAACAGGAAGAAGTATAATTTAATGAACGTGTGGAATATGTTTTTTTAACCACGTGAAAATGTAAATATTCATCTGCTAAACTGTTCTAAAATAACGAATTCTTTTGAACAAAACGTAACACCTCTCGAAGGCTTTAAATTGCATTTATTGAACTTATATTAGGTACTTTATTTTTACAAGAACAGATGGCTAAAGGTATGTGTACGAATTTCCCTATACCACGTCCTATTTTTTGAAACATTGTGCCGTTCTTTGATGATTGCATGCAATAGAATTATGGGTTATTCCTATTTCGGTTCACAATACCGTCTTTCCTGTATACACTTTGTTACAGCGAATGATCGTCTTATTCTTTTATCTCAAACATGCACAAAATATGCCCATCGTAAAAATGAACCCTACAATAACAATTACGGTTCGACCTTTACCGATTGCCGTTTTCTCCTTGTAAAAGACTTGGCAAAATGTCCCGATTTGTAGTGAAAAACAAAAAAAGGCATATTTTCTTAGAATTTGCATCGACCGATTCACGTAACTGTAGTTTTTTTGGGTTTTATGAGTACTTCTTCTTAGTTTCATTCAATTATATCCTATTTCAATTATTTATCTTACTGAATGAAGTAAAGTAGCAAGTGAAAATAAGACATATACTGAGTGTACAGAAAACATATTGATTATTTCCAAATTCTAGTTTTAGTTTTCTAAAATGGATCCTGATAAACTTCGTAGCAATGTCATATCAAATTTAAGGGCGTGTTTAATACTGGTAAAAGGGAAATGTGATTTAAGGCAACTTAAGGGTATGTGTTTTTACATAATGTATAATAAATCAGATGTGTAATGTTTTCGTTTGGTTTAAAGCTGATTATCATTCTATAACGGGGGAAAACATCCCATACAATAAACTAGGATTTAGAAGTGTAGAAGAATTTTTATCGTCAGTTCCCTCAATTTTTATTACTCAATCGGCAAACGGGATAACGGTTGAAGCGAAAGAAGACGAGAAGACGTTACACATAGCAAATCTGATTGAAAAGCAAAAAAACAGTAAAAAAAAGACGAGGTATTTTTTCGAAAATATAATTTTTTTGATCGTTAATCGAGAAACTATTATTGGTTTGACTCATTTTTTAGACTTATGCCTGCTAAACAGCCAAACTACTTGTCGAATTCTAAAAATAAGTCTGTAGTTTCAAATTGGAAACCTAAAGTATTAAATCAAAAATGGAAAAACAACCTTAAAACACCTCCACGACAAACAGTTGTAACGCACAATCAATTTGTTACACATCCAAAACATCAAAAGAGTGATTTGCCACCCAGACTGGCGAGGCAACGAAAACAAACCGAAACGTTCATCATCTCTGAAAAAAATAAAGAAAATAAAAATGATACGAACAAATCACGAGATTATGATGTTTCGAAGGGTGATGCCGTGCTGGCGGCGGCTAAAAGGAGAATTGTTAAAAACATGAGCAGTCCCGATATGGATGGATTTTGCGAAATCTTAACTTACGACGATAAACTAAACAACATTAAAGGTGACTTAGCGCCCCCATTCAATATTAATACAGGTAATGTTGTGTCGAGTAATAAATTGTTTGAACAAAATACGTCCGCAACTGGGGGTTTTGCTACAAAAAACCGGAACGAAGATAAGGTAGGGCAAAGGATAGAAATAATTATACAAGGTGTTTCTGATGTAAGTAGTAAGCTTGCAGGAGGTAGTAAGACACTATAAAATAAGAAATTTAAGTAAATGTTTGGTGGTCCGAAAGTTCACCGTTTTCGAGAAAAACGTATTTGAAAGTACAAGCAAGTGCCAGTCCAGCCGTGGCAGGATCACGCACGGAAATGTGACAACGCAACGCCGCATTCAATAAGCTGCTACTTAACAGCATTCTGTACTTCTTTTGCATTTTTGTATTCATGTATTTTTTGCTATATGTTAGATTAGATTAAGTGTAATTGTCGATGTTTATGTTTACAGCTAGCTTAGAGTAGAGTAGTTCTTTACTCTTTTAACGTATGTAAGTAGACAATCGAAGTCGTAAGAAATAGATCAATGTGACAGTGTCATAGGTCGGTGCAAAATCGTTCGCTTGACTTCTTATTTCAGAAGCGCCTTGTGTGTACCTATCGGCATAGCATAATAGAAATAAAAATTCCGCTTAAATAAAAAGTTTCTCTAGGAAAATGGTAGTTTTAAATCATCCGGAGACCATGTGACTGATTTACGAGATTTTGCGAGAAAACACAATTTGGAAGAACCAGTTTTTAAAATTATATCGAGAAAACCAAAACCTAGAACGTCAAATTTATATGATTGTCAAGTGAAGGCGGGTACCATTTTCTGTGGTGTTTTTTAACAAATGTAAACAAATTGAAGAATGTTGTTTTAGATAGCAGAACAGTCATTCTCTAGTTATCCTGTAGATTTTGTTGATTCGAATGCCGCGCAACAATATGCCGCTAAACTTGCTTTAGACGAAATCGTCCCGAAATTTCGCCATCCAAAATCTCTGCTTTTATCAAACGAACAAGACGTTCTAGAAAAAGTACCTCCGATTGTTATGAAACATTACCACGGAATTTGGAATTGGCAATTGGAAGCTGATTATAAAGATATGTTTCACGAACAATTACCAATTAACTGGATGGAAATAATCGATGTTTTACCGTATATTTCGGTGGTGCCTTGTTTAGACAATAAATTCGTACTTCGTTATTGTAATCCAGAAGATGTAAGTGTGGCACATGTGGTGGGGCTTACTTGCTTTAGCATTTGCTTTGTGGTGTGCGGTCTTGTATAAATTATTAGCGGCTTTGCCAAAGCTAATCTTCTTACATATGTTTCTTGTTAATTCGTAGATTTTTCAGAAAGGTGTTAATCACATGACCGCGGTGTCCATGATTTCTGTTCCCTCTAGTTTCGTTAAATTCGACGACGACGGCATGCTCATGGCCGATGTCACTTGTGTCGTTAGCGCCTCGGAAGTTTGGTGCAGACAAGTCGATACGGACGAGGCAGTAAGAAATATTTACCCCCTTAACAGTTTTTTATTTTTCATTTTTTGGTTTCATCCGTAGGAGGAATTTGCTAAAATGATAGCGAGATTCGATGATTTCTATAATTCATCCACAAACGTATCCAAACCGAATGCAATAAGTATTGGCGGTTTTTACGTTGCCCTTTTCGATAAGAACTGCTGGGTACGTGTAAGAGTACTAGATTTGTATGACGAAGAAGTGAACTGTTTCTTCATCGACTACGGTGACGAGTGTTTAATTCCCAAGTCAAATATTTTTCAATTGGAAAGAGAATTTGCCAAGGAACAAGCTCAGGTATTTACAGAAAACTATCATTAACTTTTATTTGTAAATTAATTTCAAATTTTAAGGCGTTCCTGTGTAAGCTAGCCGGGCTGGAACCGCTCGAAGAAGCGTCACTTCATTCTGAAAGTCTTCAAAATTTGGTAGGGCTTCGGGTAAACGTTCAATCGGTTGCAAACACTGACGAAGGTAAACGGAATTAAGCATTCAATAGCTGTCGTTCATCGTATCGGAGGCATTCTTTTGCTACATTTGTTAATTTTTCAATTGTTTTAGTAACTGAAGCAGTCAATCCGGCTATTTCCGTTATTATGTATGACCTATCTTCCGGTGCAGTGGTCAATGAACAACTTATTACTTCAATTACAATGGAATCTGCATCGCCAACGTTACAGAAGGTAAGTCAGTGTTTCTATGCTGTAAAAATATTTATTGTAATTTTTTTGGAACGAAGTTCCTTTACGCGGCAGTCGGTGCGCACTTTTTTACATATTTCATCATCTACTATTTTTTACAAACACCAAAACAATAAACGATATGTAGTCGACTTTGTAGATTTGTACGTTTATTACATCTGAATATAGTCGCTCCGTAAGCTGTAAGTAATAGATATGAGAAGAAGTGTTGAAACCTGATTGCGTCCTATTTCTACTGTGTGGTAACTATCCATGCAGATGAATTCGGTTCTCGAGTATTATCTATACTATTAGTATTCGAGTACAGCGAGCATTTTCAAGAATCGAGTACGTTTTGATTCTTGGATTCGAGTACGCCTATCACGAGTGTGATAGTGTGACCGGTCGCAAAACCTTTTTAGGTAAAAGCTCAAGACTGAACTATGGTGCATCTAATTTAAAATAAATGTATACTTTTTAAAATATTGAATGAAACTTATTGATTAGACTTCTTCTAAAATAAGGATTATTATATTGTTATATTTGAATTGAATAAATAAATTAAATGTACAAATTTTATTTCAAATTAAATGCTTGAAGAAAAGCGTAAGTCTGACCGCACACAGCTTTTTAAAATATTTTCTAGGACGTTCCTACGGAAGTTTACGTTTCATACGTGGCGAAGAATGGAGACATTTATGTCCAAGTGCATTCCAAAGGATTCCACGAACTGCTGAATATGCTGGCGAATTTCATGAGCGAACTCTCCGATAATAAAGTACCTCTTTCATCTAGAAAAGTTCCCACTCCACAGAGTAGCGCGGACAAGCTATTTCTAATACTCTATAAGAAACAAAGGCTTTGGCAGAGAGCGAAAATTATCGATTGGGCTCCTAATTTAAAATTTGCCCAAGTGTATTTTGTCGATATCGGTGATACGGAAGTAATTACCGTTTCCGACGAGATCATCTATTCCATTGAGGAGATCAACGATATCCTCAATAGATTTCCAGAACAGGCGATTAAAGTTCGAATGGTATTCGAAAAGTTGACCTCCGACGAAATTGAAAAATTAGCCGATTTTGTCGAAAAAACCGAAAGACTTCTGCCTCTCTGTCAACCTGTACTGCTAAAGATTCATAGTCAGACAAAAGGCGAAACACCGCTGGTCGAATTTTTCAAGAGATCAGAGACAAATGTTCTCTTTCCTGTCAATAAATCCTTAGAAATGAGCATCGATTCGCAGAATAAAAAGAAAAAGTTGGAAAAACTCATCTCGTTAAATCAGTTCGAGTACTTATCACTTAACAGTAAGCAAGTTATAAATTGTAGTGTTTTAATTAGGTAGGAATTTGGATTTGTAATTTTAGAAAATGTCCCTTCAAGCGGTTCCCTGAAATGCCCACCTTTACCCGAAATTGGAAACTATTTCGACGTTAAAGTGCCGTGTGCTGTAAATCCATGGAATTTCTTTGTAAGTTTTATTTCATAATAAATTAACAGTGCGACTGATCAACCGTCGGTTTAATTCAAGGTCCAACCGTACGATTCTCGAGAAAAACTAAACAAATTAATGTTCGATCTACAAGACAGATACGCCGATCAGCAATTTTCCACATTGTGTATTGAAAATGTCTATCCCGGTGGAATCTACGCTTCAAAGCATGACGATGGCCTTTGGTACAGGTCAGATTTTCTACATGCGATTCTAATTATTTAATTTTTATTTTGATATAGTGGAAGCATTTGCGCATTAAGTTAGCATTACTTATTTTTAGTATCTAAGTTCAGGTCAGTCGCGAAACCTACGTGGAGACAACTAGCTTGTCTCTTAAACGATCGATAAAAAATATACCTAGTCTCTTCTATTTTTAGAACGAGTGTGATCAAAGTGATTCATTCCGGATCGATATCGGTTTTCTATTGCGACTTCGGATATTACGGTAACCTTACCTTGGATCAGTTGGTTCCGCTACACGAAGAGTTTTTAGAGTTACCGTATCAAGCTATTAAGGCAAAATTAGCCGGTAAGTGTAGTAGCAGCTATGTATTTGCTTATGATTTAAAATAAACTGTCGCACGTATTCAGGAATCAAACCCAAATACGACAAGTGGACTACGGACGACTGTACCTACTTTGAAAGGTTAGTTTGCAGAAAAAATTTGGTATCGATCCTAGTTTCAATCGACAGAGATGAGCTGTATAGATATGACAACGTTGTCACTTTGAAATTAATCGATACGGCGACAGACGAAGATGTTTATATTGATAGAGAATTGGTAGAAAAGGGAATTGCCGTTGACGCGACAATAGTGTAACAAAAACAACAACAAGGCAATAAAAGAAAAGGCTGTTGGTAGTTAATACCCGTGAATTTTTTGTTATAATAGTTTATAAGTATAGTTAAAACTCTCATTCCACACGTTAACGTTATATAAGACTTCTTATAAGAATCGCATGTTTTATTTAAAAAATTTTTTTTTTTTAATAATGCCTGAACTGAACATTTGCTATTAGGTACGCAGTATTACTTTGTTTTCAATTGTTTGTCTAATGAAAGCTTTGCTCAGAAGGTTTAAAAAACAACCAAAGAATAATTCATTGTGTTTTTTGAGCGTATAGGTTTATAATATTATGTACTTCCTTCCGTTAAGATATTTATTCAGTTATTGTAAGGAACATTCCTTTCGCTTTATTACTTTTATTATTAAACGTTCTTTAATTCACGATTGTCTTTGTTTATAATAATAAATAAGACGCACTTTTTATTTAATACACTCTAATTTGTTGAACTAAAATAAAGTTAAAAGAAAAGAAAAACATGAAGAGCGTTTTAAGAAAATAAATTTAAATAACCACTTGCTCGCGATATTAAATTGCATTTGAAAATAACAAGCCAAAACATGAAAGCATAAAAGATGCCATTAACAATGACGTGAAGAACGTAGAGCCTAAAAATAAATAAAATGCAATATTAATCAAGGTAACAATCAAATACGAGCCCAGAATCAAATCATTTGGCCCAATGGATAATTTGAAATGAACCACAAACATAAAATTTTACTCATTTATAAAAGTTTCATTTAATTTTAATTTAACTTTAGGTCTTAACTATGTCAGTTAATTTCATTTGGCCCAGTACGTTGCTGTCGTAAAGCTATTAGGATAATAGCTGGACCGAAAATGATTCCGGGCTTGTATATTCATATTTATTATTGATAAGGATTCTCTTCTCACCTGTAAAGGGTTACTTTTGCTTGTTCTAAATTTGTGTTACTTTCCTTAAGAAGGAACCGTTTAGCCCCTAAAATTGCATTTTTAAAATAAACCCACACGTCTATGTTTTGCAAACCAAAATCAAATTGTTCTTTTTCATCAGGCAGAATCTGTTTGTTTAAATTAATGAAATTGTCGTTTTTAAAAGCCCACTGTCTAGAGATAAAGTAATGCAAAGCCATGTTGGCCGAAAAAATTCTTCTTTGCACCTTCAACAACCTAAAAACAAGCATCGTAGAAGAATGACAATTTTTTGATCGTCTACCTACATGGGCTTTTTGTTCATAATTTTCAACACCAAATCTATCAGTAAAGCCGGTATTAAATGCAAAAACAAGACATTAATGTAATGCCAATATTTGCATTTAGTAATGCCACCTCCAGGATACCACAACGGGTTACTTAGGGGTACTTCCCAATTCAATTGTTTACCCATGGCGATCATTTCACCCTGAGTAACGGCAGTTACGTTATGACTGCTGCAGTTGTAGAAATTCACATCCAGTTTTTCGTCGAGTTTTCTGAAAGTATGTACAGTAGTGGTTGGCCACAAAAGAAAAAAATAATTAATACATATGTATACATACGTACGTGTTACGTACAGTAACAAGTTTGATCGATACGATTATAGGTAGAAGAACACAAAAGTGAATCTGAATCGTTTTAAAGGTAAGCATTTCGCATTAAATTGAGTAAGTACTTAATTATAATTTATGTAGGTGTGTTTTTCTAACTAAAATAAGTAGGTACCTAGTTGTTCCTTTCTTCCATGCTGCTACAACAAGTCCTTTAATCGCTACATCAACAGGACAGAAGTCGGTGATGATTTCAGGATCGGAATAATTACTTCGAAGGATGCCTTAAAAATATTTTACATCTATAATTTCGTAAAATAACTCGTAATATTTCGTCACCTTTCCCAGAAGCTATCAACAAACCAACTGGCCCATTAAAATTATCCAACCAACCAGGCATCGGCTCTTTCATGGCAGAAATGACTACAAATCAAATTTTCATCAAAATCTGATAGATTAGACGCGTTTAATTAATCAAAAGTACCAATGGATGGTCTAAAAACAACGGCAGGCAATTTGCCTTTGCATAGATCATAAACTACATGTTCGGCCATCGACTTTGTAAATGTGTACGTATTGGGCAACTTATTCATATATTTCGATAACATGACTTGTAAAGTGTAATGATCCATTTTCTCGGCTATATCAATAGCTTTCCGCCAGTCTGCATGTGGGGGATACAGAACTTCTTCTACAACCTTCCTATCTGTGTTACAATAAGTGGTCGAGACGTGTACAAAAGCCTACAAGATATTATTTTGCAATTAGTATCTACGTCATCATTCGAAACTGTATGGTACGGTGCTTGCCGAAAGTTTTTTTATTTCCGAAGCGAGTCGTATTACTTCACGCGTACCCCTTGTGTTTAAAATGATCGCGTCTTTTAAGGGATCATCGAATCTTACAGACGCAGCGGCGTGAAATATAATCGACACATTGTCCTGAAGGACCTTCCTATCTTCTGGACCCAATCCTTGAAGTTAAAATAATAGTAATAAACTTAAAATTGAATACCGAAGCATTTATTAAGCATACCCAAATCAATATGTGTAACATCTCCTTCAATGGGAATTAATTTTTTTGCAAAATTCGGATTCGTTTCCCGTAACTTGTCGAAGAGCTGAAATAAACAGTACGTGAATCTTTCGATAGATTTCTTTTGAAAAATTAATTGTGCGTACCACTAAATCTGTTATTTTATTTAGTCTTTCGTGGACGTTCATCCCCTTTTTCGTACGCATTAAAACGTAAATTTTATCAATACCACCACAGGACCGTAATAATTTTTCGATCAGTACTTTTCCCATAAATCCAGTCGCGCCGGTAATAAAAATACATTTCCCAGTATAAAACTCGGCTATAGTTTCGGCAACAACAAGAGAAGACATTTTAAAGAGTTGTTTTCAAAATATCTATCTTCTTAACCGCACAATACAAAATATTAACACTTTCGTTGAACAATACGAGTATAACACAAAAAACAAAACAAAAATGATCCTGCACGGGTTCGCAGACGTATGTAAGTATTTCTAAAATTTTACAACGAAGCTATTGTTAAAATTTCGTTGTTGAAATCGTATTCATTAAATGTTGCCTACGGGGCTCATTAATAAATCATTTTCATTGTATTTGCTTCCCATATTATTACAATTACCGGTCTACATTCTAAAATATTAGAATTAAAGGTCAAAAGCCAATGATTATATCTACCATTAACGATCATTCCAAACGATAGGTGAAAAAATTACTTAATAAATTCTTTAAAACCAACATAAATAAAATAAACATACTGAAATTGAAAACCTAATATCAACCTGTAACACGTCGTACTACGTAAAAAAAAGGTCAAAAACAAATGATTATGTATCGGTTAAACTTAAAAAATTAAACGTCAGAATTTATGTCATTATTTGGGGAGGGGGCAGAGTTAAAATTTTCGCGCTTTTCATATTTCGATTTATTTTGATTTGTTTTAATCAAAATTAACAATGGAAGAAGACGAAGGCGAAGAAGAAGCAATTTCCGAAGGTTGAGAGTAATACTTTGTTTTAACATACAATTTTTGTATAATGTATTGTATTAAAAGGACCTAAACCTGCAAAGGATAAAAAAGGAAAGAAGGATAAAAAGAAGTTTGATCCATTAGCTGATCAAGAAATAAAATTTAAAAAGGTCGATTTTGAGCACGCATTAACACCGGAAGAAAAGGCCGCAAGGAAAAAAGAGAAAGAGGATAAAAAGAAAGGAAAAGGGAAGCATAAAGAACCTAAGAAAGCACCTGAAGGTGCAGAAGGTGGTAAGAATATTGTTTCGGTAGGTTCACGATAAAAAAACCGTTTCAATCGATTCCTTTTTAAAACAACGTAGGAAATGAAGAAATGGGAGGAGGAGATACTCAAGAAGAAAGTAATTAAAAGCGTGTTATTATTTATACGTATATTTTTTTCAATATTTGCAAACCGTTTTCCAGAATCGGAGGAGCAGAAAACCGATAAGACGGGTAAAGAAATTATAAAAAAATCGTTACTCGTAGGATAGTAGCACCTCTGGGTAGTAGACATAACATTTTGTGTGATATGTAAATGCCGTATACGATATGAAATGTTCAGCAGAGGGTGAGGAGGCCGAAGGAATCGAACAGGAACCACAAGGCAAGAAGAAAGGCGCTAAGAAAGAAAAATCTAAAAAGGAGACAGAAGAAAAAAAGGACAAAAAAGAAAAGAAAGAGAAAGGTATCAGCATTCTCGAACCTATTTAAGATTGGCTAATCGTAATCGTAAAATGTTATCAAAATATTAACAAACGTATACCTGTTGTCTATACAAGTGCAAGCGGAAGTTCCCGAAAAGGGCAAAAAGAAAGATAAAGAAAAACCCGCTGTAGATAAAGATGAAAAGGAAACGCGCGAAGAAGAGGAAGAGGAGGAGATTGAGGAGGAAGAAGAAAAAATAAAAAAGGAGAAAGAAAAGCCGGTAACAGATACAGCAAAGAAAGGTAAGGAAAAGGTAAAAGAGAAAGAAGAAGTCCCAAGCGAAAAGAAGAAGGGAAAGGAAAAAGACAAAGGTGAAGAAAGCAAAAAACAAAAAGGAAAGAAAAAGTCTGCAAAAGAAGCTGCAAAAAGCGAAAGCAAAGTAGAATCGGAAACTGTAGAGACAAAAGAGGAAGGTTCAACAACGGGCAAAGGTAAAAAAGGCAAAGAAAAGAAAAAGGTAAAAACTTTCAAAACGGAAAATACGAAATATCTAAGTAGAAAATGTTAGGGAAAGAAAGGGAAAAAAACAGTCGAAGAAATTAACGTAGAAGAAGAAGAAACTGTAAAAACGGAAACCATTAAGAAAATGCCATCAGACGACGAGTGGAGTTGGTACTCGTGCTCTTGTTCCGAAGGAGCCGAAGAAGAGCAAGTCGAAGAAGAAGAGGTCGTTACCAAAAAGGGTAAAAAAGGAAAAAAAGATAAAAAGGCCAAAAAGGATAAATCGAAAAAAGCAAAAAAAGAAGAAGAGGAAGAACAGGTACATGTACCTATTACTTTACGACTTCCAAAAGTACCTACTCATGTATGTAATGTAACCATTACCTCTATACGTACGTACCTATTTCAATTTAGAAAAAAGAAGAAGAGCCACCTCCTGAAGACGATATCTTTGCGGAATTAAAAAAAATGCAAGCGGCAGCTCTTGGACAAGCTGAAGAAGCTGCTGAGGAAACTACTGTTGTAAAAAAAGAAAAACCAAAAAAACCGAAGAAGGAAAAGAAACCAAAAGTAATTTTATAACAATCTACAATACAAAGCTAAAACGAAAAAAAAATTTAAGCACCTGGTTCATCGAATCAATAATAAACTTTGTCTGTAATAATTCCCGTAGGAACCCAAAAAGAAAGTAGTCATGACCGAAGCAATGAGGAGACAAATGGAAGAGGAGGCTAAACGGTTGGCTGAGGAAGAGCGTATAAGAGCAGAGGAGGAAAGAAAGAGAATGATAGAAAAAGAAAAAAAAGAGCAAGTCGATCACATTTTAAGAATGGAACAACTGGAAAATTCTATTTTACTTAGACAGCAAATCATTGAAAATAACTATCAGTTATTTTTAATTGTAAAAGAAGAATCTGAAGTACGTAAAAAATGTCATACCTACATATTTTAAACGGTTTCATTACTTTATCGTCTTTATTATTTCAGTGGGACCACTTTATTCGTTGCGATGGTTTGCCTTACCCTATAAACGTAGGGGACATGAACACGTACATAGATTTGTGGAACAGATACATGAAGAAGACGGACATTAAAATTGCTACACAAAGAACGAAAGATGTGCTGAAAGTATCGGCCTACCTAATAAAATTGTTTAAATTTAACTAAAACATTTATATAAAAGATTTTAGATTTCTTAACGGAGTACATCGAAATGCCCTTGGATGCAACTCCTGAAAAAATCGAAGACTGGAAATGGGTAAATAATATAATATAATTATTCAAAACAGCCGTCAATAATTTGTAATATAGATTTCGAACATTGCATTTGTTTTTTAAACAGGTACGTCGACAATGTATCGAAAACCAGCAACGAAATGTGGACAGTTTGACTTGTTATATTTTGAGCTATGTTAAAGAGAGAATGCGCAGAATTTCTATACCAGTAGCGGAATTTAATTTGGAACAGCCCCAATTTACCCTTTGCCTTTATACTTTCGTAGCTCTTCCTCAACCCATAATAAATCCAAGAAGACCGCCTGCGTAACTTGTGATTATATATTTATACCAAAACTTAAGTCTAAAACTAAAACTTTTCGTAGTAAAAGGGTGGAAGTTACCTTCGCTGCAACGAAAGTTGAAGTCGTGTTTCCAGAAGACCTCAACTGTTATCTTTTATCGATAAGATCGATGTACTTAAGATACGATCATTTGACCGAAACGAGCAGAACTTTTTCAGAGCCCGAACCGCCCGATATTTTCAAAAAAGGTGCCTAGGCAGAGCTCATTTAAATTTCTGTATTGTACACATTAATAAATCGAAATCGGTCTTTTCTAGATTTAAAAGAAACTACTTTTTTGGAATTCTATCATAAACTGTATTACAAATACATAAACCGTATCATACCTCCGCCGAAACCGCTGGAGGAAGGTGAAGAGCCCCCTCCCGAGCCAGAGGTCGACATCGAACAGGGGCTTGTTCCCACTGTACCTTACCAAAAATTGGAACCTACTGCTAGCGAGTATTTTGTTTCCGTTGAAGGTAAACTTAGAGAATAAATAAATAAATAAATCCGAGCGTTGAGGTAAAATTAAAAATTTTTAGACGAGATGTATTCGGAAACCGTTCCATCCTTGACAACAATAACGGCCCCAAGGGAAATTAATTTAAGAAAATTCTCAATCATAGGCGGTATTTACTTCCTGAACTTGTTCCACCAACCTCCACAACCGAAAATCTTGCCGAATTTAGAAATAGTCGTGAGAGTGTGTAAGTTTTCAGCATGGATTTTTATTAAGGTCACTTATTTATTTTAATTTTATTCGACGTAGTGAAGGATCCGAACTGTCTAAAAGAATATCCGTTTTACGTGGAGTACATTCCTCCTCCTACCCCAGGTCCTGGCGTTATAAGATCACCAGAAGAGATAGAAGAAGAAATGAAAGAGCAAGAAGAAAAAATGGACAAACTGATATTCGTTAGCATCGAGTAAGATGGCTGTTTTGATTAATTCAATTTAAGTTAGGAAAAGATAAACAATTTTAATTCTGCAATAGTTTGCCCATGCACGTTTTGTGGCTGGATCCTCCAACCGTTTGTCGATGGAATTACAAGGAAAAACTGTGGACAACGGAAGACGTTCACGATGTAAAATATATTGAGGAAAAATATTCCATTTCGTTTCGTACCGGTAGATTTGGCACGTTCGGACTAGCCCTCAACAGATACGTTAACCTTCCGTACCAAACATGGGAAATAAAACCTGAACGCAAGTAATCTTTCAATTTCGAGCAATCATTAGGCATATGAAAATTCGATCTGATTTCTTTAGCGGCACCGTTTCGTTGCAAATAACAGCGGCTGTATTATTCATTGAATTCAATGTAAATGGTAAATTAATTTGTATATCGAAGTTACAAAACAGCCCGACATCGGCAATGAAGGAGCACATCGGAGAATATTACAAACTAACAAAATTAATGAGAGTAATACTTTACTTATTTACGTGATCTAGTTAATGTACTGCATTTTTCCCGTTGTAGATTATGAAAGAAGGCGGTATAGACATTTTTCCTGGGCACGACGCTTTTTTTTACGTTGAAGGTATGTAAGTATGTTTAATAGTTTTGAATGATAATTGAAGAAGGTAAGGGGTAACGGTGACAAACCTGCGTAACAAACCGTTGAAACTAATAACAATTGTCGATTGTTAATGAGTTTGTTTAGAATTATTATTTACATACGTAAAGGGGGACATTGCCGAAAACACTGGCCTACAGAGGAGCATTTGTATTACAATGTCGCTGAAATAGCCGGTTGTTTTAACGTAGCCTGGTCTAGATGGAACATGGTTTCAGGAAGGAGAAACATAATTTTTCAGTTAAGGGATTACGACGTCGAAAAAACGAAACAGGTGTACCTTGTTTACAATAATAAAACAATAAATCGATATAAGTTAAAAGTTACAAATAATTTAAGGTACCGTACAATTTGGTACTGGTCAATCCTCTGAATGCAATTTACATCGACTGCACCGAAGTTAGTCCTACATTAAACCTTGAACCGATCGAAGGGATGAAGGTAGAAAATATTCTATATCTGTTCGATATAATATTAACTGAACGTTGTGTTTTAGTTTTATAGCGACCTATTCTTTCTTATAAGAGGAACTTCTCGAATGAACACCAGAACAAAAGTGCAAAATACTCCTTTGGATATGGTATGCGCATTAGCAGAGTTACTGGTAAAAACGCGAGTTTTCAGTTGGGCATAATCACAAGTAATCTGTAACTATCGTACGATATGTATGTAATACGTGTATCAGCTATTAAGAAATAAATAAAGTAGTAAAATTACATTCTACGGAAGAGTAGTGCCAATAAAATATTAATTTTAAGAAAATTCAAAACATTTATTCGGTCCATCTGTGACAACAGTGTGGGTTAGTGCAAACATAATAAAGTCTCATTTCTTCTTCAGCCCTCCTGGTTTGCGCTTGAAAAAATACAGCCTCCCTGTAAGTAAATAAAAAGTTCCGTCATTCTCTTAAAACCTAAGCAATGAGAAAAATACAGATAGGGTTATTATATTAGAACAGACCTATGCTGACACTTTGGACAGTGGTGATCTTCAGTTCTGGGAAGTGTCGGATCTGATATAACATCGGGATTGATATGAGTTAATTCACTAAAATTAATCAAAATTAAAACCTAAAATGTAACCTAATACCACACATCTTACTCAATTTCGTGCATAATTTTATTTACGTAAATACATTTCGAATCTGCATGCTGTTTGTAGTCACAGTTTCTACAGGCATACAACAAAATTTTGTTTTCCTTGTCTTCTTTAGGGTACAACATGTTATTACTGTAAATATATGAATAAAATTAACGCTCCTGCCCGGTTTATGTCCCGCTTCATTTACAGATGAGTCATGCATCTTGAGAAACCTTGCAAAGCTTATGATGAGAGCATTCGAATGAGCTATATCTGAATGGTAGGCGATGAGCGGGAGGGAAAATATGGGGGGATGAATGTTCAACAGCTTTCGTATTAACTATGACTCAATAGTGGGAGATGAGGGGGGGTACCACGACAATACTCACCTTGTAACTTTAAGATCTCAAGTGTACCTGCCACAACATTTCAGTGGGGAGGAGATTACGATAATGCCCACGCCGACCGTTTTACCGCCACATTCGTCATCAACTTTCTGAAAATATCTTGTCTGTCCCTCATCACCGACCGTTGAAATAAAGCTCATGCGAAAGCTCTTGTCATAAGCTTTTCTACAATCTAAGGCTCATCTAGATATGTATATGAAGCGGGCATACACTGTACCGGAACCAGATGTTTATGTATGTAACTATTGATCGCCTCTTCATGTCTTCTCATTATCCTCACCTCCGATCATAGGGATCGGTATAGTCCCACTTCATATACATATGTTCCTAGATGAGCTTAAGAGTGTAGAAAAGCTCATGATGAGAAATTTAGGATGTGCAATATTTCATGTGTCGTTTATGAAGGGGTAGAGAGGATATAACGAGGTGAAAGATGAAGGTGAATGTAGCTCTACGTAATACAGATAGCAAAATTTTCACAGCGATGCTAAATTTTTTTACGACAGATACGCTTAGGATCAGAAGGTTGTAGTCCCCTCCCTTTTAACTTCGATCATTTTAATATTGTGGCACATATGCTTAAGATCATAAGGTTAGGGTAGAAAAAGGTAAAACAGTTAGAGTCAATATTCTTGTAACCCCTCCTCCCTGGTCTTCTATCATTGAGACATTGTGGCAAATATGCTAAGATCTGATTATGGTAGGAAGAGATGACACGAATGAGGTGAGTGTTGTTATGGTACCCTCCCTCTTAACTCTGACCATTGAGATATTTGGGCAAATACGATTAGGACAAAACGAATAAGGCGAGTATAGTTGTGACCCCCTCCCTCTCATCTCCGACCATTGAGTCATTGCTCATTCGAAAGCTCTCATCATCCAACGATGTATGACTCATCTGCATATGAAGCGAAGCTTATACTATACCGAAGGATTATTTATGTATCGGTTCAACATTCATCTTTTCATATTTTCCCTTCCTCTCAACGCCAACCATTGAGATTTAGCTCATTCGAAAGCTCCCACCACATAGATTAACTTCTATAATATCTCTTATATCTATGTCTCATCATAACCTATGCAAGCTTTCCAACGGTGTCTGACTCGCCTATACATGAAACTGGACTTAAGCCTAAACTAATTTAGTTATTATTTATAAACATTCTTAAATCCTTACCATTCTTGACAAAATCTGATACCGACAAAACCCGGGCCTTCGCTATGGGAATCGTACCTTGACATTTTTGGACAAAGTTAGAAACACCGCATTAACTACTTCTGCTTTCGCGCTTTCTCCTGACCATAGATTACTACCGACTACTGACGTTAGATGTAGCTAAGAGTACTAACAGGAATTAAGCTGTCAAATTGACCACAGAAAAGGGCGAGTTATGGAATCACAGATACATCGAATACAAATAAATCATTGATATATAATCGATACAATTGAAAAAAGAAATTGTTCCTAATTGGTAACGTTAACAATAGTAAATCTTTGGCAACTATTCCGGTTAACCCCCCACACGTTATTTATGAATGATTGATAAATACATTCTGATAGGCAGGAAGCTTATTTAAATTTGCCATTAAAAAATGCATATTTTTTTTCTGGCATACCGCAAGACTTCACACCTTGGTCCAATTCTATTTATAATATTTATAAATGACCTTGAAGTTTTAATTTACGTAAATGATGTAAGACTGTTCAAAACGATTAAGTCAGTTGATGATGGATTTAAAATGTACAAACAGATTTAAATCAGATATACGCATGGTCTTTACAAAACAAGTCAAACATTTGACTTTAGTAGAACCTTTATTATATCGAACAAAGAAGTTCAAGGTGGTCAGTATTCAGACCACTACCGATGGTATTCACCATGCCGTTCGAGGTACTTTACTGTATTATATCCAATATCATTTAGTGCTGTTGTGTCTGTACGACCGTTTGAGTATTATTTCGACGATGATATGATTGGGAGTTTCACGCGTACTATACGTTTTAAATTTATTCGATTGGCTACGATAGTAAGATAACGTTAAAGTAGGCAAAGGCAACACGAGCGAAGTGTGTTGTGTTGCATAAAAAAATTCGGCTAATCGGCCGCAAATCCTTGATCCTTTAATTATTTCAGTTAGAATGAAAACGAGATCGATGATACTGGATACGACTGTCAAAAAATGCTCTATGTCAAAATAAAATATTTATTGTTTTAGTGATATGAATGACCGGAAACGTCAAAACAAAATAAACTTTTCAAAATAGTANATAATATTATGTACTTCCTTCCGTTAAGATATTTATTCAGTTATTGTAAGGAACATTCCTTTCGCTTTATTACTTTTATTATTAAACGTTCTTTAATTCACGATTGTCTTTGTTTATAATAATAAATAAGACGCACTTTTTATTTAATACACTCTAATTTGTTGAACTAAAATAAAGTTAAAAGAAAAGAAAAACATGAAGAGCGTTTTAAGAAAATAAATTTAAATAACCACTTGCTCGCGATATTAAATTGCATTTGAAAATAACAAGCCAAAACATGAAAGCATAAAAGATGCCATTAACAATGACGTGAAGAACGTAGAGCCTAAAAATAAATAAAATGCAATATTAATCAAGGTAACAATCAAATACGAGCCCAGAATCAAATCATTTGGCCCAATGGATAATTTGAAATGAACCACAAACATAAAATTTTACTCATTTATAAAAGTTTCATTTAATTTTAATTTAACTTTAGGTCTTAACTATGTCAGTTAATTTCATTTGGCCCAGTACGTTGCTGTCGTAAAGCTATTAGGATAATAGCTGGACCGAAAATGATTCCGGGCTTGTATATTCATATTTATTATTGATAAGGATTCTCTTCTCACCTGTAAAGGGTTACTTTTGCTTGTTCTAAATTTGTGTTACTTTCCTTAAGAAGGAACCGTTTAGCCCCTAAAATTGCATTTTTAAAATAAACCCACACGTCTATGTTTTGCAAACCAAAATCAAATTGTTCTTTTTCATCAGGCAGAATCTGTTTGTTTAAATTAATGAAATTGTCGTTTTTAAAAGCCCACTGTCTAGAGATAAAGTAATGCAAAGCCATGTTGGCCGAAAAAATTCTTCTTTGCACCTTCAACAACCTAAAAACAAGCATCGTAGAAGAATGACAATTTTTTGATCGTCTACCTACATGGGCTTTTTGTTCATAATTTTCAACACCAAATCTATCAGTAAAGCCGGTATTAAATGCAAAAACAAGACATTAATGTAATGCCAATATTTGCATTTAGTAATGCCACCTCCAGGATACCACAACGGGTTACTTAGGGGTACTTCCCAATTCAATTGTTTACCCATGGCGATCATTTCACCCTGAGTAACGGCAGTTACGTTATGACTGCTGCAGTTGTAGAAATTCACATCCAGTTTTTCGTCGAGTTTTCTGAAAGTATGTACAGTAGTGGTTGGCCACAAAAGAAAAAAATAATTAATACATATGTATACATACGTACGTGTTACGTACAGTAACAAGTTTGATCGATACGATTATAGGTAGAAGAACACAAAAGTGAATCTGAATCGTTTTAAAGGTAAGCATTTCGCATTAAATTGAGTAAGTACTTAATTATAATTTATGTAGGTGTGTTTTTCTAACTAAAATAAGTAGGTACCTAGTTGTTCCTTTCTTCCATGCTGCTACAACAAGTCCTTTAATCGCTACATCAACAGGACAGAAGTCGGTGATGATTTCAGGATCGGAATAATTACTTCGAAGGATGCCTTAAAAATATTTTACATCTATAATTTCGTAAAATAACTCGTAATATTTCGTCACCTTTCCCAGAAGCTATCAACAAACCAACTGGCCCATTAAAATTATCCAACCAACCAGGCATCGGCTCTTTCATGGCAGAAATGACTACAAATCAAATTTTCATCAAAATCTGATAGATTAGACGCGTTTAATTAATCAAAAGTACCAATGGATGGTCTAAAAACAACGGCAGGCAATTTGCCTTTGCATAGATCATAAACTACATGTTCGGCCATCGACTTTGTAAATGTGTACGTATTGGGCAACTTATTCATATATTTCGATAACATGACTTGTAAAGTGTAATGATCCATTTTCTCGGCTATATCAATAGCTTTCCGCCAGTCTGCATGTGGGGGATACAGAACTTCTTCTACAACCTTCCTATCTGTGTTACAATAAGTGGTCGAGACGTGTACAAAAGCCTACAAGATATTATTTTGCAATTAGTATCTACGTCATCATTCGAAACTGTATGGTACGGTGCTTGCCGAAAGTTTTTTTATTTCCGAAGCGAGTCGTATTACTTCACGCGTACCCCTTGTGTTTAAAATGATCGCGTCTTTTAAGGGATCATCGAATCTTACAGACGCAGCGGCGTGAAATATAATCGACACATTGTCCTGAAGGACCTTCCTATCTTCTGGACCCAATCCTTGAAGTTAAAATAATAGTAATAAACTTAAAATTGAATACCGAAGCATTTATTAAGCATACCCAAATCAATATGTGTAACATCTCCTTCAATGGGAATTAATTTTTTTGCAAAATTCGGATTCGTTTCCCGTAACTTGTCGAAGAGCTGAAATAAACAGTACGTGAATCTTTCGATAGATTTCTTTTGAAAAATTAATTGTGCGTACCACTAAATCTGTTATTTTATTTAGTCTTTCGTGGACGTTCATCCCCTTTTTCGTACGCATTAAAACGTAAATTTTATCAATACCACCACAGGACCGTAATAATTTTTCGATCAGTACTTTTCCCATAAATCCAGTCGCGCCGGTAATAAAAATACATTTCCCAGTATAAAACTCGGCTATAGTTTCGGCAACAACAAGAGAAGACATTTTAAAGAGTTGTTTTCAAAATATCTATCTTCTTAACCGCACAATACAAAATATTAACACTTTCGTTGAACAATACGAGTATAACACAAAAAACAAAACAAAAATGATCCTGCACGGGTTCGCAGACGTATGTAAGTATTTCTAAAATTTTACAACGAAGCTATTGTTAAAATTTCGTTGTTGAAATCGTATTCATTAAATGTTGCCTACGGGGCTCATTAATAAATCATTTTCATTGTATTTGCTTCCCATATTATTACAATTACCGGTCTACATTCTAAAATATTAGAATTAAAGGTCAAAAGCCAATGATTATATCTACCATTAACGATCATTCCAAACGATAGGTGAAAAAATTACTTAATAAATTCTTTAAAACCAACATAAATAAAATAAACATACTGAAATTGAAAACCTAATATCAACCTGTAACACGTCGTACTACGTAAAAAAAAGGTCAAAAACAAATGATTATGTATCGGTTAAACTTAAAAAATTAAACGTCAGAATTTATGTCATTATTTGGGGAGGGGGCAGAGTTAAAATTTTCGCGCTTTTCATATTTCGATTTATTTTGATTTGTTTTAATCAAAATTAACAATGGAAGAAGACGAAGGCGAAGAAGAAGCAATTTCCGAAGGTTGAGAGTAATACTTTGTTTTAACATACAATTTTTGTATAATGTATTGTATTAAAAGGACCTAAACCTGCAAAGGATAAAAAAGGAAAGAAGGATAAAAAGAAGTTTGATCCATTAGCTGATCAAGAAATAAAATTTAAAAAGGTCGATTTTGAGCACGCATTAACACCGGAAGAAAAGGCCGCAAGGAAAAAAGAGAAAGAGGATAAAAAGAAAGGAAAAGGGAAGCATAAAGAACCTAAGAAAGCACCTGAAGGTGCAGAAGGTGGTAAGAATATTGTTTCGGTAGGTTCACGATAAAAAAACCGTTTCAATCGATTCCTTTTTAAAACAACGTAGGAAATGAAGAAATGGGAGGAGGAGATACTCAAGAAGAAAGTAATTAAAAGCGTGTTATTATTTATACGTATATTTTTTTCAATATTTGCAAACCGTTTTCCAGAATCGGAGGAGCAGAAAACCGATAAGACGGGTAAAGAAATTATAAAAAAATCGTTACTCGTAGGATAGTAGCACCTCTGGGTAGTAGACATAACATTTTGTGTGATATGTAAATGCCGTATACGATATGAAATGTTCAGCAGAGGGTGAGGAGGCCGAAGGAATCGAACAGGAACCACAAGGCAAGAAGAAAGGCGCTAAGAAAGAAAAATCTAAAAAGGAGACAGAAGAAAAAAAGGACAAAAAAGAAAAGAAAGAGAAAGGTATCAGCATTCTCGAACCTATTTAAGATTGGCTAATCGTAATCGTAAAATGTTATCAAAATATTAACAAACGTATACCTGTTGTCTATACAAGTGCAAGCGGAAGTTCCCGAAAAGGGCAAAAAGAAAGATAAAGAAAAACCCGCTGTAGATAAAGATGAAAAGGAAACGCGCGAAGAAGAGGAAGAGGAGGAGATTGAGGAGGAAGAAGAAAAAATAAAAAAGGAGAAAGAAAAGCCGGTAACAGATACAGCAAAGAAAGGTAAGGAAAAGGTAAAAGAGAAAGAAGAAGTCCCAAGCGAAAAGAAGAAGGGAAAGGAAAAAGACAAAGGTGAAGAAAGCAAAAAACAAAAAGGAAAGAAAAAGTCTGCAAAAGAAGCTGCAAAAAGCGAAAGCAAAGTAGAATCGGAAACTGTAGAGACAAAAGAGGAAGGTTCAACAACGGGCAAAGGTAAAAAAGGCAAAGAAAAGAAAAAGGTAAAAACTTTCAAAACGGAAAATACGAAATATCTAAGTAGAAAATGTTAGGGAAAGAAAGGGAAAAAAACAGTCGAAGAAATTAACGTAGAAGAAGAAGAAACTGTAAAAACGGAAACCATTAAGAAAATGCCATCAGACGACGAGTGGAGTTGGTACTCGTGCTCTTGTTCCGAANTTATTTATTTTAATTTTATTCGACGTAGTGAAGGATCCGAACTGTCTAAAAGAATATCCGTTTTACGTGGAGTACATTCCTCCTCCTACCCCAGGTCCTGGCGTTATAAGATCACCAGAAGAGATAGAAGAAGAAATGAAAGAGCAAGAAGAAAAAATGGACAAACTGATATTCGTTAGCATCGAGTAAGATGGCTGTTTTGATTAATTCAATTTAAGTTAGGAAAAGATAAACAATTTTAATTCTGCAATAGTTTGCCCATGCACGTTTTGTGGCTGGATCCTCCAACCGTTTGTCGATGGAATTACAAGGAAAAACTGTGGACAACGGAAGACGTTCACGATGTAAAATATATTGAGGAAAAATATTCCATTTCGTTTCGTACCGGTAGATTTGGCACGTTCGGACTAGCCCTCAACAGATACGTTAACCTTCCGTACCAAACATGGGAAATAAAACCTGAACGCAAGTAATCTTTCAATTTCGAGCAATCATTAGGCATATGAAAATTCGATCTGATTTCTTTAGCGGCACCGTTTCGTTGCAAATAACAGCGGCTGTATTATTCATTGAATTCAATGTAAATGGTAAATTAATTTGTATATCGAAGTTACAAAACAGCCCGACATCGGCAATGAAGGAGCACATCGGAGAATATTACAAACTAACAAAATTAATGAGAGTAATACTTTACTTATTTACGTGATCTAGTTAATGTACTGCATTTTTCCCGTTGTAGATTATGAAAGAAGGCGGTATAGACATTTTTCCTGGGCACGACGCTTTTTTTTACGTTGAAGGTATGTAAGTATGTTTAATAGTTTTGAATGATAATTGAAGAAGGTAAGGGGTAACGGTGACAAACCTGCGTAACAAACCGTTGAAACTAATAACAATTGTCGATTGTTAATGAGTTTGTTTAGAATTATTATTTACATACGTAAAGGGGGACATTGCCGAAAACACTGGCCTACAGAGGAGCATTTGTATTACAATGTCGCTGAAATAGCCGGTTGTTTTAACGTAGCCTGGTCTAGATGGAACATGGTTTCAGGAAGGAGAAACATAATTTTTCAGTTAAGGGATTACGACGTCGAAAAAACGAAACAGGTGTACCTTGTTTACAATAATAAAACAATAAATCGATATAAGTTAAAAGTTACAAATAATTTAAGGTACCGTACAATTTGGTACTGGTCAATCCTCTGAATGCAATTTACATCGACTGCACCGAAGTTAGTCCTACATTAAACCTTGAACCGATCGAAGGGATGAAGGTAGAAAATATTCTATATCTGTTCGATATAATATTAACTGAACGTTGTGTTTTAGTTTTATAGCGACCTATTCTTTCTTATAAGAGGAACTTCTCGAATGAACACCAGAACAAAAGTGCAAAATACTCCTTTGGATATGGTATGCGCATTAGCAGAGTTACTGGTAAAAACGCGAGTTTTCAGTTGGGCATAATCACAAGTAATCTGTAACTATCGTACGATATGTATGTAATACGTGTATCAGCTATTAAGAAATAAATAAAGTAGTAAAATTACATTCTACGGAAGAGTAGTGCCAATAAAATATTAATTTTAAGAAAATTCAAAACATTTATTCGGTCCATCTGTGACAACAGTGTGGGTTAGTGCAAACATAATAAAGTCTCATTTCTTCTTCAGCCCTCCTGGTTTGCGCTTGAAAAAATACAGCCTCCCTGTAAGTAAATAAAAAGTTCCGTCATTCTCTTAAAACCTAAGCAATGAGAAAAATACAGATAGGGTTATTATATTAGAACAGACCTATGCTGACACTTTGGACAGTGGTGATCTTCAGTTCTGGGAAGTGTCGGATCTGATATAACATCGGGATTGATATGAGTTAATTCACTAAAATTAATCAAAATTAAAACCTAAAATGTAACCTAATACCACACATCTTACTCAATTTCGTGCATAATTTTATTTACGTAAATACATTTCGAATCTGCATGCTGTTTGTAGTCACAGTTTCTACAGGCATACAACAAAATTTTGTTTTCCTTGTCTTCTTTAGGGTACAACATGTTATTACTGTAAATATATGAATAAAATTAACGCTCCTGCCCGGTTTATGTCCCGCTTCATTTACAGATGAGTCATGCATCTTGAGAAACCTTGCAAAGCTTATGATGAGAGCATTCGAATGAGCTATATCTGAATGGTAGGCGATGAGCGGGAGGGAAAATATGGGGGGATGAATGTTCAACAGCTTTCGTATTAACTATGACTCAATAGTGGGAGATGAGGGGGGGTACCACGACAATACTCACCTTGTAACTTTAAGATCTCAAGTGTACCTGCCACAACATTTCAGTGGGGAGGAGATTACGATAATGCCCACGCCGACCGTTTTACCGCCACATTCGTCATCAACTTTCTGAAAATATCTTGTCTGTCCCTCATCACCGACCGTTGAAATAAAGCTCATGCGAAAGCTCTTGTCATAAGCTTTTCTACAATCTAAGGCTCATCTAGATATGTATATGAAGCGGGCATACACTGTACCGGAACCAGATGTTTATGTATGTAACTATTGATCGCCTCTTCATGTCTTCTCATTATCCTCACCTCCGATCATAGGGATCGGTATAGTCCCACTTCATATACATATGTTCCTAGATGAGCTTAAGAGTGTAGAAAAGCTCATGATGAGAAATTTAGGATGTGCAATATTTCATGTGTCGTTTATGAAGGGGTAGAGAGGATATAACGAGGTGAAAGATGAAGGTGAATGTAGCTCTACGTAATACAGATAGCAAAATTTTCACAGCGATGCTAAATTTTTTTACGACAGATACGCTTAGGATCAGAAGGTTGTAGTCCCCTCCCTTTTAACTTCGATCATTTTAATATTGTGGCACATATGCTTAAGATCATAAGGTTAGGGTAGAAAAAGGTAAAACAGTTAGAGTCAATATTCTTGTAACCCCTCCTCCCTGGTCTTCTATCATTGAGACATTGTGGCAAATATGCTAAGATCTGATTATGGTAGGAAGAGATGACACGAATGAGGTGAGTGTTGTTATGGTACCCTCCCTCTTAACTCTGACCATTGAGATATTTGGGCAAATACGATTAGGACAAAACGAATAAGGCGAGTATAGTTGTGACCCCCTCCCTCTCATCTCCGACCATTGAGTCATTGCTCATTCGAAAGCTCTCATCATCCAACGATGTATGACTCATCTGCATATGAAGCGAAGCTTATACTATACCGAAGGATTATTTATGTATCGGTTCAACATTCATCTTTTCATATTTTCCCTTCCTCTCAACGCCAACCATTGAGATTTAGCTCATTCGAAAGCTCCCACCACATAGATTAACTTCTATAATATCTCTTATATCTATGTCTCATCATAACCTATGCAAGCTTTCCAACGGTGTCTGACTCGCCTATACATGAAACTGGACTTAAGCCTAAACTAATTTAGTTATTATTTATAAACATTCTTAAATCCTTACCATTCTTGACAAAATCTGATACCGACAAAACCCGGGCCTTCGCTATGGGAATCGTACCTTGACATTTTTGGACAAAGTTAGAAACACCGCATTAACTACTTCTGCTTTCGCGCTTTCTCCTGACCATAGATTACTACCGACTACTGACGTTAGATGTAGCTAAGAGTACTAACAGGAATTAAGCTGTCAAATTGACCACAGAAAAGGGCGAGTTATGGAATCACAGATACATCGAATACAAATAAATCATTGATATATAATCGATACAATTGAAAAAAGAAATTGTTCCTAATTGGTAACGTTAACAATAGTAAATCTTTGGCAACTATTCCGGTTAACCCCCCACACGTTATTTATGAATGATTGATAAATACATTCTGATAGGCAGGAAGCTTATTTAAATTTGCCATTAAAAAATGCATATTTTTTTTCTGGCATACCGCAAGACTTCACACCTTGGTCCAATTCTATTTATAATATTTATAAATGACCTTGAAGTTTTAATTTACGTAAATGATGTAAGACTGTTCAAAACGATTAAGTCAGTTGATGATGGATTTAAAATGTACAAACAGATTTAAATCAGATATACGCATGGTCTTTACAAAACAAGTCAAACATTTGACTTTAGTAGAACCTTTATTATATCGAACAAAGAAGTTCAAGGTGGTCAGTATTCAGACCACTACCGATGGTATTCACCATGCCGTTCGAGGTACTTTACTGTATTATATCCAATATCATTTAGTGCTGTTGTGTCTGTACGACCGTTTGAGTATTATTTCGACGATGATATGATTGGGAGTTTCACGCGTACTATACGTTTTAAATTTATTCGATTGGCTACGATAGTAAGATAACGTTAAAGTAGGCAAAGGCAACACGAGCGAAGTGTGTTGTGTTGCATAAAAAAATTCGGCTAATCGGCCGCAAATCCTTGATCCTTTAATTATTTCAGTTAGAATGAAAACGAGATCGATGATACTGGATACGACTGTCAAAAAATGCTCTATGTCAAAATAAAATATTTATTGTTTTAGTGATATGAATGACCGGAAACGTCAAAACAAAATAAACTTTTCAAAATAGTATGAAAGAATTAACGTTAATATATAAATAAGTTAAATATTAATGGCTGGTGCGTTAGACTCTGTTCAAAACGATGGCAATTGGCAGGAATTCTGTGAGAGACATGCCAAGGCAGCGGCTCACGACTTTTCAAAAAGTTGTGCTCACTTTATATCGATGAACTTGCCCGAAAATGCTCGTGCCACTGTTTCGCATAAAGACTTCCTCAAAAAATTCGTAGAATGTTTTAACGAACAATTCGAAGTTAATTTTAACAAACGCAAATTACAAAATAGCAAAGTTGCAAACGGTAATACTCGACCCCCGGATGAAGGATTTACTTCCGAAACCGAAGATGGTTCTCCAAAATTCCACCACAAACCGTTCTTCAGGAGGTAGTTGATTAATCTAAAAATTATTAAATTAAAATGTTAAAATTGACCTTTTTAAAGGTTAAGTTTCAAAATGCTGAAGAAGGGCAGAGATTTGTTTCATAAGCAACACTCAGATGAAGTTGAATTGGCAGGCTCTCATAGTAAAACAAAATTGGCAAAGATCGTGGTCGAATGTCGCAAAGAAGGGATTGTTAATTATTCCACCCCTGAGAGCTTGGACACCCCTGGTGGGCCTCCCAAATGGGAAAGATGTAGACTGGCATTAGTCAAAGCTGTTGGTGGTTATATGCTGGAGTTTTATTCGCCCCCAAAAAGCACCAAGGTTCCAACACCTTAACTTGAATTTTATTAGATATTTAATTGAAATTATACAATTGTAAATATATCAGCATTATGTACCTTGTGCTAGTTAGTATTATGTTGGTTTTTATTAATTATTTTCAGCCCCGAAGTGGCGTATTTTGTGCGCTAATAACCGAAGCCAGGGAAACTACAGCTTTGGAAATGCCAGATCATGAGAACACCTTTGTTTTAAAAGCAGTGAATAACATGGAATTTGTTATAGAAGCCCATGACACTGACGATATGAGGTAAGTGGTATTCTGACCAATGTAATTAACATTTGAATTTTCTAATGTCTTAAACAATAATAAACACAAAATGGTCTTAAGATTTTTTTTAAAACTATTTCATGTTTATTATTTAAATCATTACACCAAGTTAGAGCTTCTACAATTGGCAATTTAAATTTTCGATGAGAGTTTATCTGACGTTTCGCCAACCATGGCTAGCATCTTCAGGGAACGCAGCGACAGAGTAAATTCACAATTGTACTGAGACTGACTTTACGTCATCGCTACGTTCTCTGAGGATGCCAACCACAGTAGTTGGCGAAACGTCCAATAGGTAAATTTATCGGATGAGAAACTGTAATGGAATACGACCGTCAAGCATGAAAATCAATTCAAATTTTATGTTGATTTTAGGTCGTGGCTTGCGACCATTCGATATTGCATGCGTTCACCAGGGGGCTCTGACAACGGGGGCCATTTTGATCACAACTCGAAGAACGACTACCACAGCGACGCTCCCGAACTACCCCCTAGACATATTTCAGGGCGTCCCGGCGATAGACTGTCAAATAACAGTAACTTTGAACTATCGCCTTCACAAAGCGAAATCGACGCAGGTATCGTATCGCCTAAATATTGCCAATTACTCTGTACCGATTGGTATTGCAACAAAAATAAAATTGCAGGGGTGGAACACGATATAGGCCAAACTTTAAAGAAGGAATTTTGGTTTCACGGGACACTAGGACGGTCGGAAGCGGCGCAACTCGTTCTACACGAAGGTGCCACGGGTCATGGGTTATTTCTAGTAAGACAGAGCGAAACACGAACGGGCGAATTTGTACTCACATTTAATTTCCAAGTAAGCTTGGTTCTTATCGGTTGAAAAAGTCTAGAAAATTCATTCTCAAGTGCGATATACATTATTTACAGGGCCGAGCCAAGCATTTGCGTATGACAATAAACGAGCAAGGACAATGTCGAGTTCAACACTTTTGGTTTCAGTCGATATATGAAATGCTTGAGCATTTTCGACAACAGCCCATTCCTTTAGAGAGCGGCGGCAATTCGGATGTTACATTGACCGATTACGTTGTAAATCCCAACGCTAGGAGCCAATTGTCCGGATCGCTGACCAGGTCTGGGCAGACAGGGGCCAACAATCCCAACCCGTCCGGAAATAATAACGACAGACGTGTCTTACCCATTCCCGAAGTGAGACAAGTGAGATAGTTCGTGTTTTACATGTTAACATTCACTGCTTGTTACTGTTCTTTTTCTTTTTTTGTTATTTTATTCATTTGTTTCTTTTAAGCCGTTGTTTAATTTCCGTATTGTAAGGTTTTATTATTTGTATTTCCTCTGAAGGCTGTTGATATTTTTTTTTGTGTTTTTATAGAGGGCACAGACTGTTTATTATTATTATTATCATCATCATTAAACTATTGTTAGGTGTATTATTAAAAAACGCCGATCGTCTTCCTTCATTATTACTAATTATACCTGCTATACTTTAATTTGAGTAGATCGACCCAAGTGGCTTTGCATTTTACGCTCAAAAGGATATTGTCGAAAATAAGATTGATAAATTGATGTAGCTACACCTTGTACATATTATTTAACGTAGATACCTACCTAATATTTATATATTGTAGTGGCACGCATTTAACTTTTTGTTTGTAACATATTCATCAGATATTTCGGTCAATAATAAACAACTTGTGGAAAACATTATATAATTTTATTAATGATTACCTGACGAAACCACCTACATACGAAGTTTTTAATTTAAAAGCGACGTCCGTTGAAAGGACAATTTCAAATTTCGATTTACGAAGAAAATGTTATTTTTTTTTTTATTCTTTTCCCTAAAGACAACCAAGCTCATTTGCACAGTTTTGGGTCTTTATTACAGCTAGAAAATATTTAATTACAAACAATAATTATTCTACGCCTTTTGTTTGTTACTTCGTTTCGATCATTTTAAATTGTTATCTATCGTAGGTATACTAGGAACGCAACGTAAACTAACGAAAAAAAAAAAAAAAAATA